ACAGTTCTTGAGCAGCCCAGGTATGGAGAAACCACCAGGATCCCTTCCTTTGCCAATCAGCCATGATTATCAATCTGATTTGTGCCCTAATAGAACCCTTCAGTTCCTCCGAGTGTAGTATTTCTTCCCTGAATAGCTTCTGATTCCGAGCAGTCCAAATCACCTTCATTATGACTCCCCTGCAAACTTGGGCAATATACCCCCACCCTGAATCAAAGGTCCTTACTCCTGATGTGCAGCAGGCCCAACCAATTCAATTACCTGTCAAATCTTTTTTTTTTTTTTTAAGGCTAATTCTTTAAGCCCAACCAATTCAATTACCTGTCAAATCTGGACAGGACGGCCTTTCAGGCCTTTTTTTTATTGTCATTATAGTATTACGGGGAACCCCCTAGCAGCCACATCCGCGCTCAAGCCTCCAATGAGGGAACATGCGGGAGCTGCACCCACCAGCAGGTGTGATACCTGCTACAGCAGGTGGGCGATACGGGCCAGGGGTCAGCCGGTAGCATCAGGACCGAGCTTCTTCGATGGGCCAGTCACTGTGCCTCCCCTCCGGTCCCCTCCCCCTATGAACATCAGCAGTCTCTGCTCAATGCCACTCGGGGGGACCAACGGCATATCTCCAGGTGGCGGGCGCCAAGCTTGCCCAGGAAGGTACATGAGGCCAATGGGGATTGAACCCAAGACCTCCTGAATGCCACTTGCGTGCCTTACCAACTGAGCTAGGCCGCTCGATCTCTTTTTTTTTAGGCCCCGCCTTTCCATGAATAATAGCCACCCTTGTAAAAACAATAAATAAAAATAATGGCCAACCGCCGGGGTGTGGTCCCATTAGCACTCGGATAGGAATGTGGCCGATCCAGTGTGACACTGAGTGGCAGCGGCCTGACAGGTTCATTACGAATTTCTGGGGTGAGAAAACTGGAGAAAGGCAAAAAAAAAAAAAGAAACGGAGACCTCCCACCTGAAATCACGGCAGAGTGCTTCCCAGCCATCAGATCACAAATGATCTGATGGTGGTGGTTGCAACAACAGTGCAGAAAGTAANCACGGCAGAGTGCTTCCCAGCCATCAGATCACAAATGATCTGATGGTGGTGGTTGCAACAACAGTGCAGAAAGTAACTGCCACATTTTCTGGAATTTTCCTTGTGGCTCGTAAGGGAATTTGAGCTCTTCGTTCCACCTGTACTCGGGGACGTCGTCCGAGGACATTTCCTAAGACTGATGTCAGAAAAAAAAATGAAAAGAAAAAAAAAAAAAGAGTTGTGCTTCAGGCCTTCAGCCAATAGGGTGCCGCCACGATCCAGATTCTCAGCTGTAACGTCTATCTACCCGTGTGCCCTCCTCTCCGTGAAACGGGGATTCCTTGTGCCCAAGGGACCTTGCGAGGTCCCTTGGGCACAAGGAAGAAATGGCTGGGGCCACAAGGATGCCACAAGGAATTGCCACAAGGAATTTTCCTTCTGGCGTTTTCACATTTCTTTTTCAATTTCGTCCCCAAGGACAGGTGGAACGAGCGCGTTCTTGTGGATTTCACGTCCCCAAGGAGTGTCGAACGAGCCCCATAAACTCAACTTCTGTCAGCAGTGATCATGATGCCCTCCATATACTCTGTGATTGAAGGAGGGCTCCACCCACTGGGACAATTGCACAACCGCAAGTAAAATGCTGAAAATCTTCTATCCAGTGGGCTAAGGCCGACCCCGACCTCGTTTGGGGTTGGCCGCACCCCCAACCTATTGAAAAGATTCTGGCGGGAAGCTGTCTTTGCACGGGCATGCCCAGTGTTAAGGAGAGGGGGAGGGGAACGAAGATCTCCTTACTTTTTCGGCTAATACATGTAAAATACCGACCGTGGGATCACGAGTACTGCAGGGCAGGATTTGGGTCACTCAACTGCCACACAAACTCTTTTCTATCCTATCCGGTTGCTAGTGGGACCATGCCCCAGGGGTGTGGTCCCATTAGCAGTCGGATAGGAATGTGGCCAATCCAGTGTGACACTGAGTGGCAGAGGCCTGACAGGTTCATTACGAATTTCTGGGGTGAGAAAATTGGAGAAAGGCAAAAAAAAAGAAAAGAAACAGAGACCTCCCACCTGAAATCACGGCAGAGTGCTTCCCAGCCATCAGATCACAAATGATCTGATGGTGGTGGTTGCAACAACAGTGCAGAAAGTAACTGCCACATTTTCTGGAATAAACTCAACTTTTGTCAGCAGTGATCCTGACGCCCTCCATGTACTCCGTGATTGAAGAAGGGCTCCACCCAATGAGATAATTGCAACAGCAAGCAAAATACTGAAAATCTTTTATCCAGTGGGCCTATGGCCGACCCCACTATCTTTTGGGGTTGGCCATGCCCCAAACGGATTGAAAAGATTTTGGCGGGAAGCTTCCTTTGCACCGGCATGCCCAGTGTTAAGGAGAGGAGGAGGGGAACCAAGATCTCCTTACTTTTTCGGGTAATACATGTAAAATACTGACCGTGGGATCACCAGTACTGCACGGCAGGATTTGGGTCACTCAAAACGAACCACTTTCAGTAGCGCGCGACTTTCTGCGCAGTTACAATGAGGGGTCCTAAGTTGGGAAGGTTGGGCCGATTACGCAAGATTGGGATGGATGAGAAATTGCATCAGTACCCTCGCTTCTTCGTCTTTTGCGACGATTCTTTTGGATGGCTGAGTTCGGAGTTGGGTGTGTCCCGGGATGGGTGATTGATTGGTCGGATGGCTGGCGCGCCGCCAGACGCGCAATTCATAAATCTTGACGTCGTTTCTTTTTGGTTCGGTGTCGGAACTTTTTGGGCGTGGACATCGCGCGGGAATTTGCTTCGTTCTTTTTGAATTTTCTTTTTAAATTCCTTTTCAAATTTTGTCAAGCCCCGATGGCTCTCGGAATTTCAGACTTTCCTTCCAGAACCTGTACTTTTGCTTTTTCACAGTTAGGAATTTTGTAATTAGGACTTTCGTTTGCCGCGAGGCGCATTTTTGCTTACGCTCTTCTTTATGCGGCTGCAACGGAATTCTGATTAGTCGGCGCCTTTAATCAGGTGTGTAACTGTAATTTTGGGTTGGCACCATTGTAACTGTATATTTCTTCTTGCGCTTCGTTTTTCCCGCCCTCCTTCTCTTTTTTCTGCTGTGTTTTTGTAGCTACGGACTGCATGCTCAGATCGATGCGTGGAGAGTGGCTACGTTCCCCATGGCGCGGCCCGGTCATGCAGAACGCAGACACTCCTTCTCTAATTTCCCTCCTAAGTCCTGGTAATTCCGTGTTCTTTGCGCATGCATGCACGCCATAAATTTCGATTGTGCGATTCGTCATCTCTCTTAACCAGCGGCTGGAAGCTCGGGGTTGCGCGATCAGAAAGGGTCAGCACACGAGCGAAGTAAGAGGTGAGTAGAGCAGGAGTCGGGCGACCCGACGAGCTGGTGTCGAACGAGTGGGGTTGACGAGGGCCGCGACAGACTGTGGGCGCGGGCGAACCTGACGGGTGCGGGAGGACTAAGCGGGGTGACGACTTCGTGGGTTGGTGCGCGATGACGGACTGTCCGCATCGGAGACAGAGAGAGAGGAAGAGGGAGTTGGGGTCGATGGACGCGGTTTTGCTGTTTCTTTTATTTTTTCTCCCTCTTATTTTCTGTACATAAATTTTGATTTCGGCTCCGGGTGATTTGTCCGTTCTCCGTTTTTCAGAATCTGGACTTGGGTTTTCGCTCACACTTGTCTTCGCGATTTCCCTTTCAGATGCACTGTGGGATCCATGCCTTTGCCTTTATTTATTGCCTTTGATGCACTCATAACTTAAGTAGGAATTTTGTACAATCGGTAGTTCCGTTCTCATCTTTGCTCATCTTTTGATTGGACGGCCGTGCCTGTTGCATATTGCATACTTGACATCACGGAATGATTAGAAAGTCGGATGTCTGGTCTCGCGGAACGCCGCCCAAGGACGTGTGTAAACGAGACTTGATTTGCACATTTACACGTGCCCCCGTGTGTCGATTCGCCAATATAGGTGGTAGAAATGTTGTCTGACTGGATACGGCCATCCAAGGCCTGAGACGAAGTGATCATCCCTGGCGAACACGTGTGAGCGCGACTTGGCTAGCACCAGCCTGCACGTGCTCACACGTGGTGATTGCACTCCCCAAGGACCCGCCCTTAGGCAACTCACAACTCCGCGATGACACAATGACACGATCCTGGGATTCTGACCCATCATACGACCCGGATGACTTCACCCCTTGGGTAAAGGAACTCCTCCGACAGAGATACCCTTGCTTAACCGAGAACCGACTATGTCCTCGGGAATTTCACTGCGCCACCACTAGCGACCCCCGGTGCTCTGATTTCCCCTCTTCGGACCATACCTACTACTTCATCCACCCCGGATTTGTCGTTATCACCACCAGTTTCCCTCCTTTTCGCCTCCTCCTTCCGTATCACCAACTCAGCATCGTCCCGTGGCCGGCCATAGCCCCATACTGGCCTAGTACGCCCTGCGGAAACTGCCGACGACGCGGCGATCAGAGGACCCCGGAATCCCGGAGGCCCAACCCAAACGCGCGACGACCGACGCCACGTGGCAACTCTCGACGGCCCGACTCATCGGAGCCCCACCTATCC